TGACGCCAGTCCAGTAGGGCCTGGAGCGATCTTGAGTCAAGTATAAGCAGACAATGCATTCAAGCCAGTCTATTATGCCAGTCATGCTTTGATTGATGTGGAAATTCAGTTCTCTCAAACTGAAAGAGAAGCATTTGCCATAGTGTGAGCTTGTGAGGAGTTCCATGTTTTCCTGTATGGGAAATCATTTTCTATGGTAACCGACCACAAGCCACTAGAGGTGATTTACTCGCCGAAATCAAACCGCCTTTTAGGATCAAGCGTTGGGCTTTAAGTCTGCAAAGTGGCAATCAAGAATCAAAATGCTTTTTTTAATGCTTTTGGAGAGGACAATTTGTGTTATTAATTGCAATTCACTGCTGACTGAAAATTTGTTTGTAAAATGCAATGTAGCTTTAATAAATCGGAGAAGGAAGGTAGGTTTCAGGTTTGCAAGTTGGGGGCTTCTGAATATTTCTTGAAGGATTTAAATTGTCTCCATAAACAAGTACCAATTCAACACTTCTAAATAAAAATCATTTGATGTACACATTTTAATAATAGTATTGTTTCACGGATGAGGAAATGGTGTCTTGGAAAAATTCTGCAGCTCATCAAAAATAAAAATGCTCACAAAAAGAATAACAGGTTGTGTCTGCATCTGAATAAATAGTGTTGATGTAATTGATGTCATGAGTTGTTTTTTTCAAGGTCAGAAGCTGTCCTACGTAACTAAAATATAACAAATATGACACTTGTAAATAAAATAATTTTATAAATAGTTTATTATATAATATAATTTTATCTGAAATGGATGAGGAAAATAAAGGGGGAAAAAATTCTTTTAAAAAAGCTCTAAATTAATTTGACAATTTCGTTGAGAATAAAGACAGCATTAGTCAACTGAAGGCACCATTTAAATTTTTTAAATCCACAAGTTCTTTTATTGTAACTAGAGCTGGGCGATAATTCGATAACAATAATTATCGCGATATAATTTTCCTTGATAAAACGATATGAAGAGTTCGATAAATGTTCGATATAATGTCTATGCGCCAAAAGCCGAACGAAACAGCGCGACTCGTTTGAATCGCGCCACACGGAGCGTTTATCCGCTCGGATCACTAGAGCAGATGCGTTTACTCGGTCACGCGAGCACTAAACAGCGCTGTGAGATCCAGTGTGAAGCTCTTGAATTCAGCGATGAACACAAATGACTCGGTGATTTAAACTAATTTAAAGCCAAACAGGAGAAACGCTGTGTGCAACGAGACAGTCAGAAGGCTTTTCAGTCTACACATCGCCATCATTTACCATGTATTTACTGTAGTAACACTCACTGCACCATGGTATTGTGGCAGAAATTTGGGATGTTCACACTGAATTTTATTAAAGGAGTAATGGTATATAATTATATTATGTATTTGTGATTAAGCTATAGCATGTGTGCATTTATACGGAATGTTTTTAGACAACTGTTTTTCATTCAAATAGGCTACCTAAAAATCATATAGTTATATTTTTACCATGGTATTGAGGTGCTATATTGTGTGGTTTTAACTGTGTTTATAATGATTTTAATGTATGTTACTATGGGAGACCGATGCTTAATTAAAAAATAAATAAATAAAAACTTGGTCAGAATAAATTTAACCATATAAAACTGAGGTTGCTACAATTTTTAGAGATCTTAACTAATTTTGATAATGAACAAAACTTTACCTCTGCATCCTAACTCAAGCTACTATCAAATGTGCATTTCTAAGAGACAGAAAGTGATATAATTATTAATATTATCAGGCAACCCAAACCGGTTTCTTGATTTGAAGCAATATCACTCATTAGAACATGCAGAAACTAAGAAATACATTTTTCTATTTAGATATTTATTTTAAGGAAAATTAATGGTCTGGTTTCTACAACTTTTACTTTGGAGCAAAAATCTGGCTTTAAACTTGAAAGAAATAAAGATTTGACATTTATCGTGATAATTATCGATATCGACTGATATGAAAAAAATTATCGTGATCATTTTTTTGTCCATATTGCCCAGCCCTAATTGTAACCGATATCATTTTGGAAAGGGGAAATTGGAACTCTAAAACCAGAACAAATTCCGTGTTTGTTTAGAATGATCTGAATACCTAAATCCCTGCGTTCTCAGCCATGTCAAACCACGACTGGCTTGACTGCATGTTAAAGGGTAGTCTTCGTTAAAGATTGTTGCTACATGCGCAGACTGAACCAGGGGCGTAGATTACGCGGGGGACGCAGGGGACGCGTCCCCCCCCCCCACTTTTAATATCATGTAACTTCGTCCCCCGCACTTTTTCGGCCAAGTGTGTTTGCATAGAGGTTTTCAAGAGCCGGTGTGAATAAATATAGATTTAAATTCAAAGAGACAGGATAGTCTGTGCATGATCTGATCTTTTATTCGGACCCAGAATAAGGCGAGATGAACATCAAGGAGCGCTAAACACTCCGTGCAGTGTATGTTTCATTCATACTCGAAGCCGGAGGGCGCTCTCGCGCAGAAAGTCCTATGAGGATATGGACAAAAGCGTCCAGCTATCCTGTATGAAAACAGTTGTTTTCACAGAAAACAGAAACGTTTGGAAACATCAAGACATCAAGTTGCTGTACTTTGGATCAAATAAATGCAGGCTTGGTGAGCAGAAGAGACTTCTTTATAAAACATTAAAAATCTTACTGTTCAAAAACTGTTTACTGGTAGGTTATATAGATTACTGAAATGTTATATTGTAATGTTATATATATATATTTTTTTTTTTGTATAACATTTCTGTCCCCCTCACTTCTGAAATGATGGCTACGCCCCTGGACTGAACATTTTACTCTATCTTTTTTATGGTTTATGGAAAAACTACTGACAGAAATACTATCGGAGGAGATTAAAATATATGTTTTCATTTGATCAACCAATCTCTATGGGTGTGTGTTTGGTTAAAAAAGAACCGGTTCATTCGAGTCGTTCGTTCGAGACTACACTGCTTGCGTCGTATGCTTTTGAATCACTAAAAAGAACCGGTTCATTCGAGTCGTTCGAGACTACCTGCAATCCCCTTGTCCAAATACCCACACTTGCGGTCTTGGCCACTTGAGAGCGTGTGCGCGTGACACGAAGTAAGTGCTTAAGACCGTCCCAGTTTTTAAAAACAGTTCCCTTAACACACACTAAATCCACTCCGGAGCGGTATTCGAGGCTTAGTGTATCCCATCATGCATTATGTTGTGGAAATAAATCGTGAGACTTTTTGCCGAGATCTCGTGAGAGGTCACAGAAACCTTTCCAATGTATGTTAAATATTATTAATAATTAGAGATTACATATAATTTGGTAGAAAAACAAAGAATTGCACGTTTTATTGGTGCAAAAGAGTAGTGGTGATATTTATTTTGTACTGCAACTGTTTTTTATCACTAGAAGCACCACGAAATTAAATTGTGTAATCTGTTATAGGGATTAGGGTTGGGCCGATAGACGATGCCATCGTCGATGGCTGACAGACATCACGATGTTAAGCTTGCTAGCGGTAAACCTTTTAGTGGCTCCGTATAACACATGATTTGTTTCACGCTTTGCGCACACCCCTAACCCCCCGCCCCTGTAACTGGTAGCGTAACTCAGAAGTTGTCTTGGTTGTGTATTTTTTTCATGTACTCCTCCTTTCATAGCTGCATCACCACCTCTACTGTGCATCTGATTTGATATATATTTTTAGATTTTCTCTGAATCTGAGCCCAGTTGAATCATAAAGGCCATCACAGGATCAGAGGTCATAGTCTAAAGGCCCGCGCAGACCAAGACCTAAAAAAATACAATAATTACATTAGTGTTCAAACAAAGTTTTGAATGTACACCAAAATAAAAACCTGATACCCTGAATCCCACCCCTTTAAAATAAACCCATTAAAGCTTCATTTGAACAGGCAACACTCAAATGTTCCCAATAAAAGAGTTTTATATAAGAACAATACTGGTGTTAGAAGTCACCTGTATAGGCAGACCGATAAGTAACTTTTTGCCACCTAGCATTCAAATACAATTCTATTAGGAGAAAAATAAATTTAGAAATGACAAAACACAGACACTGAACAAATGCATGGATTTAAAAATAACAGTAAAGTGTATAAAATAGAAATTCTAGAAATGTGATTTCATTTTTAAGGTGTCTGCATTGGTCTCCACCACAATGCTCTCAATCCGCTTGTTGTACTGCTCCAAAGTTGTGAGAAGACGTTCATAGAACTCCTGTGGAAGAAAAGGAATAGATATTATGACACAAAACATTAAACATAGCCTTAACATTAAACTAGCCCATTTAAATGAACATGCTAAGGAACAAACAGAAGATTGTAACAAAAAAACAGCTATCATTGGGTGTTTGCACATATAACTCGAATTAAAAGAACCAAACCCAGTTCACTTAAAGGGAACCAGAAAGGAACCAGCCAAAAGTGATTTCAGTCCTTTTGGTGTTCAAAGTATAGTGAACTCAAAAGAGAACGTTTCTTTTTTTGTTCCTCTTCAGTACTGAAGGGATCTCAGACCCATTCTCGTTCACACCACAACTTCATGAGAGCTCAGACCCCAGCTAAGAACTACATTTACTTAAGAATTATTGAAAAGTAAGTGCACCTGGGCTTTTTGAGTTTGCTGGTTGCACTTTTCTCTAAGCTTCTGCATCTTTTCCTTGAACTGTTTAGTTTCACGGTTGCTTTCTTCTATCATTTTCACAATTTCCTCCCGTTTCTGGTGGATTTTGTCATATTGCCTGAATAAAAAAAAAATACAAATAAAATAAAAAACAGAAAGTTAGAACAGTGGTTCTCAAACATTTCAGGCCGAGTACTTCCTTGATCAAATCAGAACATTCAGCTAGAGCACAGGGTGATTCTCCAGAGTCAAAGTGATGCTTCCTTACTTCTCTAAGAGCCTGTTAACCAAAATTAATCAACACAAAGGACACAGGCTCGGAAACCATTTCACACTGCAAATAAGGAGGGGAAAAAAGGTGTTTTTGTAAATGAAAAAATAAAATAAAATAAACACCAATATGTTTTGTAAGGTGTACAAGCAAGTAGGGCCGTGCAATTAATCGAAATCGTCATAAAATCGCGATTTGAGCTTGAGATTTCTAAATCGCTTTATAGCACGATTTTCTGCGCCCCCGACCTCCCGCAGCTATCCGAACCAATCAGAATGCAGCGCCCCTAAATGGAGCACGAGAACAGAACAGACCAGGCGGGCATACAAACGTAACGTCAGGTTCACACACTCCATCTGTGGTGCGTATTTTGTCCGC